AGTGAATAACCGTAAATTGACATTCCCAGAATTCCCTGCGTTACATTTCAAATTTGATGTTTTTTTGTTGAAATAACTATGTTTCTTCTTAGTTTTTTCTTATCAGTTATGTATATTAGGGTTGTGAGTTACACTTGATGTTATTAAATTAATTAAACATTCACTGCATTATTTCAGTTTCATGTGTGTTACCGTGATGGTGTTTAGTGTTTGTGTGAATGACACTGTGCACCTTCTATATATGTTTTTATTTAAAAGCTGCTTGTGATGAGCTTTGCTTCATCATGTGACTTTCTCATCACCTCCTGCATTTGGTGGTTATCAGTGTATTACAAAGGAACAAAACAGATTTCAGTACTTCAATAGGTTGGTATACATTATATCAGTTAATGAAATATTTAACTGTAAATTTAAGTTAAAACCGTAAACGTTGCTACGTTGCTACCGTATTTTTTACGGTAAAATTCCGGCAACCACAGCTGCCGTTTTTTACCGTAATTTTTTTTTCTGTTTCAAAGTTTCAAAAACATCACATTCATCACACATACCATTTTCATGCTTCCCCATTAATGCAAGTGTTGAATTTAGTCCTGTGTAACCCATCCTTAATCTAGAAATCATTACTACTTTCTTTCTGTCTTCCATAAACCTGTTCTTTTTTCCCTACTGATTTTACAATAATATAACACCACTTGTGCTGCTATTTTCCCATCTTTGTTGCCATATTCTTAATATTTCCCTATTAATTACTGATTTTATCTAATTTCTTCCCAGAGGTACCTTAACATCCACCAAGTTTTTCTTTAATGCTTCTTTTGCTAACTTATCCGCTGTTTCATTTCCTACTATCCCGATATGTGCCTGTACCCAACAAAAGTATACGATTGTACCCTCTATTTTCAGTTTGTACAGTAATGTATACATTTCTACTAGCAGGTCTTCTCTATCAGTTTTTGTCGACAATATACTTTTAAGAGCTGATGAAGAATCTGAGCAAATTACAGTCGGAGTCCTATTTGGCTTCATCTGTTCTACCCTCTGCAATCCTACTATTATAGCAGTTAATTCTGTAGAATATACGGACAGTTTGTCACTTAACCTTAAACGTATTTTCGTCTTAAATCTTGGAATGTACACTCCTATGCCAACTTTTTGTTTGATTGGGTCTTTAGGCCCATCTGTATAGATCTGTATAAAAGAATAAAAAATTTATCTCATAAAAACATTGATTTCATAACTATTAGTATATCTTTTTGTTGCTGCCACCGCCGCCGCTGCCATGTTGTGAAGACGTTGTGTGTTTCGTTGCGAAAGCGAAAATACTTTGTTTGGTCTTCCAAAAGAGGACACGACTAGAAATCAGTGGTTAAGTTGTATTTACAACACTGTTCCAGAACACTTCAACCCAAATATTCAGATGTGTGCAACGCATTTTATGGAGGACTGTTTCCTGATCCTGGGAGAGTAGACTACAATGCCGGCTGTTCTGACTCACAGCCTGTAAGTAAGTTTTTCATATTTAAAGAATTTGCCACTGATGATTCAAACGCAAGTTTTGGGCAGTGTAGAGTAGCACTTGTTGTTTGTCATTTCTCCGATCACAAATGCAGACATGGTTTTATGTTTATGCGGCGCGATGCAACGCAATGCGTAAAAAGACAGAATAAGTCATTATAATCCATAATTATGTCCCAACTGGACGCAACAAATGCCTCGTTTATAATGGGTTTTAATGTTTTTGTCTCGTCGCTCCGGCCGAACAGGGCATCAACAGTATGTGAGGGGCGTAACATTTCCGTCACACGCTTGAGGTATTCGGCCAATCACAATACACTGGATAGCTGGCCAATCACAGCACACCTCGCTTTTCAGACCGATGAGCTTTAGGCGGGGCATAGAGGAGAAACAGTAATGTACAGTATGTGGAAAGTAATGTGCTTTTTTAACCTTAAACCGCATAAACACATTTCATTACACCAAATACACAAAATAATGTTCTTTATAGCAACATCATATGACCCCTTTAAATCTAATGGCATCTCCCCCATTTCAACCCTGATGGCATCTAGAGGGGTTGACCTTATTGCTCTACAGCAGATTCTAAGTGCTCTAGACTGTGTTATCCAGTTTCTTTAATTCTGATTTTGCTGCAGCACCATACACTGCACACCCATAGTCTATACTAGAACGTATTAAGGCTTGATATACATGTAACAGTGCACTTTTTCTTGCTCCCCATTCATACTTAGCTATTGAAGTCATGCAATTTATTACTCCTTTGCATTTGTTTTCAATTTTCTTAATATGTCTCTTCCAAGTTAATTTTTTCATCAAAGATTAATCCAAGATATTTGAACTCTGTCACTCTTTCTAACAATTGATCATATCATTTCTTTTTCTTTGTAAAAGCCATATACTGTAATTTATCTACCCTTAAAGCATGCATACTTGTATGGTACTAATATGCTCCCTTTTAGGGGTATAGTTGCACCTTTGAGGTTACTGCCCCAGTAAAGGGCTCAAATACAATTATAGTATATTTTATTTCTGACAGTGTAAACAAAAAAGACCTATTAAATGTTAAAAACATGGCTTTAGAATCTAATATTAAGTGAGTATAATTACTGATTATGTTCTTTTAATAATTTAAAAGATCAGTTTAGTTTATAGATATCGGTATCGATATCAACGATACTGGGCTTGAAAATATCGGTATCGGATCGAAAATAAAAGAAGAGGTATCGTCTATCCCTAGTAGCGATATCCCTAAACCGGCCTGAACCTTGTTTTGAAGTTTAAAGGCTTATTTGAGCTAAATCTGTGCAAAATCAATCACCGGTGATCACTGAGAGATGCATGCTGGTTAGAAATGTGTGCAGCAGAATGGCTTGCTTATGCTCAGTGGTTCAAACAACCGTGATGTTGCATTCTCTTCTAAAATGTTTGATTTTTATATCTGATATCATGTGATTATGTGTTTAATTATGCGTCAATACACTGTGCGTAAAGAATAATATGTGGAATCCATTTAAAGCTTCTCTGATGTTAATAGGGAGAGATTGAATTGACATCTAATATATATATCCAGCAACAGCTATAACATTTCTCTGTGTACAACCATACAAAATCCAATATAAATATATTATTGTATAGTGTAAGACCATGGCTGGGATGAACATCAAGCCACAATCTTTTTTTTTGCTTATACATCATTTAAACATTATGCTGTGTTTTAATGCATAAGTTAAATCTGTTCTTAGTGAGTATGGTATTTATGATAATTCATCATAATTAACCTATTATAATTTACATGTTAAATAAAGTACTATTTATTATCAGGAAATAATCAAAAATGGATGGAGAAATAATCTGCCTGAGTTGTAATTACTACATGTGTACTCCAGGTGGCTGCAATCTCCACATTTTCTGTAATGAACGGTTTCTGTTCTGCACTTTTAACTATCCGAGGGTGTGAAAACACACGATTAATTAATTAATAAATAATAATACCATAACAACAACAACAAATAAAGGAAACTAATTACATGTATATGAAATATAAGTAAATATTAAGATGTAATTGGATGTAATAAAGTATAATACAATAAAACAGTCATTAAAATAACCATAAATAATAACAACAACAATAAAAGGAAAAATTACATGTATATGAAATATAAGTAAATATTAAGATGTAATTGGATGTTAAAAAAGAAAAAGAAAAAAGCATAATACAATAAAACAGTCATTAAAATAACCATAAATAATAACAATAATTAGGAACACTTTTTAATAATATGATTTTAATCACATTGAATTTTAAGACGTGCAGCTGACACATGACGTCATTTCCGGTTCTGCCATTTTGCGGTTGCGGATCGGTCTCGAGCGGCTGGTGCGCTTCTTACCGAACACCGATAATAAAGTCTAATAAAGATAATAAAGCCCAGGTAAACCGGTAAAATGTCAGATTTTGACAGCAACCCCTTCGCGGACCCGGACTTCAGCAACCCGTTTCAGGTAACGTTAATGTCATTTCAGCGCTGTTGTTATTCTAGTGATTTATACTTATAAACACATTTTCTAGTCGTTTCCATTAACGTTAGGTCCGTATATAATAAAGTCATTTAATCCTATTATCTTAAGTGAAAAACACAGAACCTTTTTTTTAAACCAGTCAGTTGTGTGTACATATGTAATTATTGGCTCTTTAGTTTTGTTTGTTAGCTTTTATTAATATTATTATTATTATTATTAGTTTTCTGAATCGGATTATGTGCCCAGTTTTATGTTTAGTCAGTCCAAAACAAACCTTTAATGCACTATAAATTACATTTGACCACATCAGCATATTCTCTGCAATGGCTTTATTATAATTTAATCAGACGGAGGAGTCTTTAATTCTGGGTTTGGTTTCTAACCTTGGCTTTATATTATGTTTTTAAGAGTGTGTTATCTAGTGAATTATCTGCTGCTATTGAAGCTGGCAGTGTGAGAAATGAATATGATCCCTTTATAGTCTGTGTTCACCTTTACACAGGGCTGAGTGATGATGTTTAGGGCCAGTAAAGGATGATGATGGTGTGTGTGTGTGTGTGTGTGTGTGTGTGTGTGTTTGGGCTGCTTAGATGGATGGATGGATGGATGGATGTAGGGCGGCCTGTTTTGATCAGTGATATGACTGTGTGTGTGTGTGTGTGTGTTTGGATGGATGGATGGATGGATGGATGGATGTAGGCCAGCCTATGAGAATGTTATAGTTTCGACAGCTTTAAAATAAGTGGTCATACAGAGTTTTCAGTGGGAAATCCGGATATCTAGATTATGTGTGTGTTTTGTGTATGTATATGTGTGTGTGTGTGTGTGTGTGTGTGTGTGTGTGTGTGTGTTTGGGCTGCTTGGATGGATGGATGGATGGATGGATGTAGGCCACCCTGTTTTGATCAGTGATATGACTGTGTGTGTTTGCGGCTCCGGTCAGCTGAGGGGAATTAGATCCCTGACAGCCTGTTTTATTTTTTATTTTGTGCAGCTACATTGAGCCTAACGTGGAAGCATTTGTGGTCCGTGCACCTTAATGCACCAAAGCTGATGATTTGGTGAAGTAACACCATTTTGTAAATAATGAATCCTGTAGAGCAGGGCTGTCCAAACTCGGTCCTGGAGGGCCGGTGTCCTGCAGAGTTTAGCTCCAGGACCGAGTTTGGACAGCCCTGCTGTAAAGCTTACTGTCTCATGTGTGATATGAATTTTTAGGCCTTTATATTACCAACATAATCAAAACTTTGCCGTTAAACCTGTTGCACCCAATCTACTACACACAATGTAGCAAGTAAAAGGCCTTTCAGTATAGGCCTAATTGTACAAACGTCCACCTTCAGCTCATTCTTCACATGTCTTTTGCTGTGAAATCTACACATTTATATAACGTATAGATATAAGAATAACTTTGATATTGTTAGGAATAGATAGTTGAACACTTACTGGACTGAAGCAACTTCGGTTTACTTGATTATCCAAATATCATTTTTAGAGAAATCATGTTCAAATGTGAGTATCAAATATGATCATCAGGCTTTAGAAGAACATTTATTTCAATCATCATTGCATTGCATTAAATGTTGTGATCATTAAACTAAACATTTCAATATAATCTTACTAAGACATTATTGGGAGATACAGAGCAAAAACTGATATTTATATGCATTTTATGTCGGTATCTGCTATACTTTTACTCATTGATTTACATTACAAGCATTAGAATTCATCACTTTTTGTTCATATAAATATCAGCATCTGCATCAAATTGCATATTTTTGCTCAGTTTGGGCTTCTAAATAAAATTGAGGTATTTTTCCTCCGTATTCTCACTATATCATACTATATGAGCCATAAAAGCCTGATGTATCAAATAGCTGTGATATTTAACGTAAAACACATATGCAATATGGAAATATATTTTGTCTAAAGGTGCAATAAGCTGTTCAATAATAAAAAAAATCAACTTATTTCATATTTCAGGTTTCACAGATTAATACACAAAGGCCATCTGCCTTGAGTTTTCGCTGCTTTGTTTTCCTCTCTCTTGTAGTCTCCGGGGAGAGTCTGTATATTTGACATTACAGGTGTTGTAGACTCACAGGTGGGATCGGACCTGTCTTGGAGGTGCAGGGGTACAAATGCAAATTCATGCTCAGCAGATTGTGGCCTTTGTTCGGCCGGATAGGACATGATCATTTAGACCTCTTAGAGAAAGATGCTTTGTTTTTGATCACCTAGGTCTCTCTCTTTCCCTCATTTCTAATATCAAACCACCCACGTTTACACACACACACACACACACACACATCATAGCCTAATCATCATCAGCAGAGTTTTTCTTCTCAGAAGTGTTCCTATTAAAGCATACCTCTCATACCTATTAAAGCAAGCCGTCATTAAACTCAACTGGTCAGACGAGGTATTTCATTAAGGGATCAGCAGTAATGGTATGCGGTCCGTCATGGGGTTGCCATGGTAACTCGACACTATAGCTGACCGACTGTAGCGGCACGTCTCAATAATTAATGCATTGTGCCTCCTGATTGCATTGTGTTTCTGACTCACATCTTCAGTGTATAGACTGTCTTGAGCTTGTAGATTCTTATTGTCTTGATTCATTTGCTGGTTTTGCTTCCAGACCTCAAAATAATAAAGCAGACATCAGCAAATACCTGACAACCCTGGGTTTGGTGTTTTCTCAATATTAGCCAATCAGCATGCAGACAATGGCATCTCGGTTGAATGCTGTTATTTATGCTGCTGTTATGATGCCAGATGTTGGTGGAATTAGTACATTTTACAAGACTGTACTATTTAAGTCTTTCTACTTTCTAATTCATTGTGCTACTTTGTTCTTTGTAATTGTGAATTTACTAGACATTTCTGAAAATTGTTTCTGAGTAAATCTTACACTACATTTTTTTAAAAGTGAGATTTGTGTGAGAAAACAACTGAAATTGAACCAAAACATCTTTAAAAACACCTTAACTCTCTTCGTTATGTTCATGAGAGAAGTAGCTAAATGTGTCTTAATCAGATCTTTTCAGTGACTCATTTCAGTTCACAGGGGGTGGATTTTGAGTGAATAATGACTCAATTTTCAAAGTCATGCAGGTCTGAAATGACGTGAGGGTGCTAAATTATGTCAATTTTTATTTGTTAACTTCCCCCAGAAAAGACAAATGCTTTGAGTTTGGAGGATGAGTCATTCCTCACCAGAGTCTGGTAATCATAGTTAAACATTTCTGACTCTAAGGCAGTTCTTAAATGAAACCACAGAGCAAACAGTCTTTATCCTAGATGAGATCCTGGTAGAAACGACTTTCACGGTGTGCTGAAACAGTCTGAAATGATGCAGCCTCATCAACAAGTAGGCGTGCTGCAGGATGTTGCAGAACCGCTGCATGGGTGGGTGTGTGTGTGTGTGAGACTAACTGAATGCACACATGCATTTGGCCCTGACTGAGCACGTTATTACAGTCATTTCATAATGCAGCAGCTGTCAAACTCATAAAACTAGTCAGTGTGTGTGTGTGTGTGTCACCGCTGTAAGAAAGTAGGCTGTCTAAATGAGGTCCGTCTGATTCTGTCCGTCACTCAGAGATCGTAATGAGAACACGAGAAGAGAGAGAGAGAAAACTAATGATCTGATTAGATGGATGTTTCTGGAGACGTGGGCCGCTCTGCAGATGCAGGGGAACCTATTACAGTGAGCTGCCATCACCGTGTGTGTTTGCCTTCATTCACACTGTTGAGGGAGCAGTGACTAAGAGACACTCCTGTCATCGGCGGTGGAACATTACTGTCACGGGACTCAGAGATGATTTCACTGAATGAGAATTTCATTAGTAGAGTTTCTGCATAGATCTTCTGATTTCTCAGAATGACCGCCTGTCTTTGAGCGACACTTTAGCTCTGCTCCAAAACCTAGTCAGCTGTATTCTAAGGCAGCATCAGAACTGCAGTGAAGCCTCAAAAGTGACTGATTTGGAACAGCAGCAAACATAAATAGTGTGACATACAGGATTGATAAGGAAAAGACAACAGTCTGATACTTTAATAACATTTCATACACAAAGTGATTAAAACAAAAAAAGTGAATAAATATAGTCACAAAAGATTGATAAGAAATTAAAACAATAAATGTAAAATACATATTAAAAATAAATCAAATGTACGTCAGAGACATTTTATATATGTTTGTATACTTTTATATTCAAATAAAAGATGATTAAATAATCATGAAATGTACATAATAAAAACATACTGCAAAAATGCACACAACACATACATTGGTTAAATAATAATCATAAAAGATACATAAGAAGAAAAAAAAACATTAATAAATGCATTAAGTACACAGCAAATGCTATGTATATTTTTTGTTTATATTTATTTTGAACTGAGCTGGAGCCTATATGATGCCTTAAAATGCTGTTCAGGTAGGGAGCTTACTGTTTTTGACCTAAACTGTTGTGTCTCTACAACAAGATGTTTTGTTACTTTCTTGTCCGAAAGAGTGGGTGGATGGATTGCTTTCAGTGATACTTGGACACAGATATTTCTGAAATATATTTTTACCTGCTAGATAGACGGGTGCAAGAAGCTGCATACTAATCTGCATACTATAGTCCCATATGCCATGGGTTCTGTTTTTTTTGTCATATTGGTTTTAGGGCTGGTCCGAATGCCATTTTTTGAGCTTCAAAGCTTCGGTAGTAATCAACACCGAATATTCGAAGCTTCGGAGGGAGGGGGCTGAACATATTCTTCTCTCTAATAAAGGCAGGGATCTCTGTGTGTCTGTCTGTCTGTTTGCATTTTTATTATGTCGAGAACCGTTCATCCAATCGACTTCACGCGTGGCGGGTGTGTTTCTACGGACCCAAGGGAGTGCAGTGTTGCATTTTGGTGCAATATGGACACGCGATACGTTCAGAATTAATAAACTTTTAGTAAACTACAGAACAGCGCAAGCC